ATTTAATGTTATGTCCAAATTTAATACTAATGTTATAAAAATAAGATGGCCCAAAAATATTAGTAAAATAGCATACTTTTTGGCCATCGTGTGAATTTATACTCCTGTTTAGGCCTCATGGAATTTTCTACGCTGTAACTGTGGAGTTTGTCATGTGTCTTGAGTTTTCAGAAATCATCATAACCAATTAGATTAAAAATTTATCAAAAAAAAAAAAATTTTTTTTAGAGTTCAATTTTCTTTCAAAATTTTAGCGTACAAATTTGCACGCTAAACCTGACGGTTTAAGGGATAGTTTTATATCTAGAAATGGGTAAATTTATGATTTTTCAAATTTCATACGCATTATGCGCGGGTTGTAGAATTAACCAAACTACTGTTAAATTACCAAAGTTACTGCAAAGAATAAAAATTTTAATTGGCTAAACCGAAATCTTTCAGTTAACCTTGCTTCGTTTTTTATATTCATTCATTGTCTACATTAGAACTTTTCGGAGTCCTTCTCTTAGCATTAATGCTAGCCAATCTGAATCTTAAAGATCTTAAGCACATAGTAATTCGGTAAATCATAATGCGCATGAAATTTTGGTCTACGCTATGCTAATGCAGGCCGGCTTGGTCGAATTATTAATCGCCATTTGCCAGTTTTGCCGCCTTTCATTAGTTTCGTCACCCTTAACCAATTTCGTCACCTTTCACCAGTTTCGTCACCTTTTGTCAGTTTCGCTATTTTAAAATTTTTTTGGCAAAAGTCGAAACTACTATAAGTCAAGGTATTAAGTAATAATAAGCGAAGCAACGAATACTTATGTATTGATTTAATTGTATATATATCATATAATAAAAGGAAGATAAAGCAATTAATTTATAAAAGTTAAATATTGTGAGGAAAAAAAAAAAAATCCTTAATTATGAATAAACTTAAAACGAGATATTATAAGACATAAAAGTGTTAATTATGCTTCAAACATGTGGAAATTTAGTTGGTTTAGATAAAGTTTTAGTGATAGTATTACATAATAGGTTTTAACAATTGAAATTGATAATAAAAAGGCGCGTTTTACAGTACAGCCCCCTCTCTCTCTAACCTGGATGAACTGAACTAGAGATTGAACTCATTACAACTCGTGACTCGTGAGCTAAACTCTGAAGAATACTTGAATCAACTCGAATAATTATTTTTTCGAATAGAATTGGAGTTATTTGAGTCATGTAAATTAAAATTCATAAAATTTTTTGTAAAGTTGAATAAGTATATTTATATTTTTGTAAGAATTTCGATAAGTAATTGCTAGTTTGGTAATTAACTCGCGAGTGATGATTTCATGATTCGAAGTTCGATAAACTCAAGTTATTCAAGTCACGAGTTGACGAATCCAGTCTTTAAACTAAACATTTAATAAACTGAACGCTAAAATAAAATTAATTTTTATTGACAAATTTAATGAACTTTTTTAAAGTATTTAGAATTAAGAACTAAGTTTAGTAAAATCTAAACTAAATTTAATATTAGAATTTTTAAAATATAAATTTTAAATTTAATTCAAAAACTTCTTAATAAAATTAAAAAAATTTTCTTGATATATTTAATGGATATATTTAATCAAATTTAGGAAAAATTTGCCCCTAATACAAAGTAAAAAAACATATTAAAATAGATTTATATTATATCATCAAGTATTTACTTTTATATATAAAATACTGTACTTATATATCAGATATTGGCCTATTAATAAAAAATATAATTGCAAAAAATTATTATTCTAATGTATTATCATTAATTAGAACGAAAGATAGGTATTATTGGCCCTTTGTAATATAAAACATATCGCGAATAAGCAAGCTCTTTTTAAAAATTTCAATATAAAATTACTCAAATTCATAATCTGGATTTTAATAATTATTTAATCCGATTTTAAAAAGGTGCTATTCACGATAGTATACGACAAGAAGGAAGTGAGGGGTTTTAAAGAATTCGATTATTGATTCCAAGAATAGAATCGATTCTCACCCTAGTAACAAGAAGGTATCTTATTTGTTAAAAATAACCCCTTTTTTAATTCAGATTATTCTCGCAAATGTATTATTAATAAGTTGTACAACGCACAAAATGTAACGTAATTTAATCCAAATCCATAAATTTTCCTAAAAAAATTTTTGACATTTAACTTTGTTAAATATCATACGTATTCATCTTATTTTTATTATAAAATAATATAAGGAAATGGCTAATTATATGCAACAAGGGTTGTCAGACGAAATTTCAATAAATATATTTAAATATGTAACATTCCCTTTAAGCCTTATATTAACTTGCAAAAATTGGTATAATATCTCTAATGATCATATGGCAAGGGCGGAATGGATTGTTAATCAATATGGTCGTGCACACGCACTATTTCATTCTATTAGATTAGGCCCAAAATTTATTAATTTAGCTGTTACTAAAGCGATAATTACAAATGGAGCAATAATCTATGGTTACTTTATTCAGAGATTATTATTGCATTTCGGAAAAATGGATCAATTGCTTAATAAATTGAAAACGGAACACAATGCTACTAATAATCAAAATGGAAGAATTACTCAACAAAGTTCTAGAACATCATGGGATG